TCCCTTCTGCCTCCCTTTCTATCAGTTTGTCACCCAGTGTCACTCCGTCATGCACCAGGGTTTCTAACCTTTGCTCTTCAGCAAGGGCATGACACCTGTCTTCAGATGAGACAACAGTTTTTATGGACATTTTCAGTCAGCGCTCAATCTCTGCTCAAATTTTACACAGCCACACAATGGGTAGATAGTGCACAAGTAGGCTGGCAGCAACAATTTACAAATGCAAGCTACTGACTGCAATGTCATTACTGAGATGTATAAGCCAAGTATAGATGTTACTCTTTGGCTTCTTCATTGATTTACCTTGCCTTTTTGGGAGTTTTGACACCTGTGATTGCTATGGTGATCACAAACCCACTGTTCTTGTATTCCTGTATCATTCAAACCTTGCTTGTCATTGATTTGTGATCTGTAGCAAATGCAAGTCATTGTTTTGGTCTGGTTCTGTTTGTATATGTGTTCTTCAATAATAAAAATCTTTATGGGGAAAAAGAATTTACGACTGTAGTTAGTAAGCTGCCAATTACAGCACAGTTGCTGCTACCTACTACATTAGCCACTTCTGTTGCACTCAGACCTGTCTCAGGTAATTTCAATTACATCAGCACACATCCCTAGTGTAAGGTTACCGGGGACACCTTACTGATCATGCCTGCTTTTAACCACATGCAAAACATAAGCCCCCTATTTGTAGCCACACCCACAAAACCATGCTTCAATTTTTTACATTTCATTAAACTGATAAATGACTTTTGAAACAAAAAGCAAACATTAAAGATATGAAGACAAAATAAACAGATTTCAAATAAGAGGCACCAACATATGCATGCATAGTTAGGAGGGATGCAAGGCCCCATTTAAAAAGTAATTAAAATGTAAAGAAAACTATGAAAAAATTAATAATACAATGTCACTGTAATAATATAAGCATCTCCTACCTTTTAGCTTCATTGAGAAATTTGGCATTCACATTCATTCACAGTGCAGAGGTCAGTGGTAAGTGTCACACAGGTCAGATGTCAGTGTTTAGCAGTACGTAGTAAGTGATGTAAAGGTCAGTAGTGTAAGAGAACCTCAGTACATGTTGGAAGGAGAAGGCTGGCCTTATGTGCATGCTCATAATTCTGAGCAAAAGCTCAAAACAAAACAGGCGTTGTCACACTCACGCAAACATATTAGCATGTGCAGAAACTATATGCGCACATGTATGAGCACTGGCATTGGTGCCAAACAGCCTATTTAAGCTGCACTGGATGGATTGCTGAGTGGTCTTCAGCTAGTTCCTGCTTTACTTGAGCATTGACCTGCTATACCTGCTTACGACTCGTTTTGTCACTGACCTGTCCTTGGATTTCTGCCTGCCTACTGTGACCTCGGCTTGTATTCTGACTTTGCTCCTGTCTTGCATTCCTGTACCTCACTGCCCAGCTGTGTACTGATTCCATTTCGTATCCTGACTCTGTCTCTGCCTAATGTGTTCCTGTATCTTGCTACGCAAATGTTAATGGCCTTTTGGGCTGAGTCATGGCTACACTCCCATCTGTCAAGCAAGTGTCACCGTGTTCCAGTTCCTGGCTCCTGCCTGGTGATGTACAGTCATCTGCTTCCTGCAAACCCCAGCTGGTGCTACCTGCTACACTGTCCCTCGTGCCACTCTGTGTCCTCACAGTCTCTGTTATCACTACAAGAGGTGCAAGAGAAGCCCCCTCTGCAGCTTGATCTCCACCAGGTACATGACAAATAAGTGAAGCTGAGTTTAGGGGTCAGTAATGCAAAGACAATATTCAGGTATGCAGAATTTAGCAATAACTGAGGCAAACTGCAGACCTCAGTAGTAAGTTATCCTCAATCACACAGTGCAGCCAAATTGCCTTCCTCTGCAAAGCTTACCAGCTCTCTTCCACCATTCCCTGGGTCTGGTGTGAGGGGCTAAAGTCCGGTCACAGCAGTGGCCAATCAGAGTTCTGCTTCATTCTCCCTCCATCTTCAGAGGGGAGTTCTTCCGATAGAGAGGAATAGAGGGGGAATCTAACAATGGGGATTTGGTGACCCTGGTCACTACCAAGGATTTCTTCTCTTTCTTCCTGTTGTGGCTATGGAACAGGAAGTGAAGAGAGATTTCACACAGATGGCAAAAATATAAACTCTCCCTTAGCCTATCCGAAACGAAAAAAATATTTTGCCTTCAGTTCTATATGCACCTTAAGCCTCACCCAAAGTGCAATGTGGCAATTCTCACATTTCAGTGCAGCAAGCTGTGCAACATCATTGCTCTCCTCAGTGTGCCCATGGGTGCCCTAGGTCTTTAACAGTCTCTTCAGCAAGCCTTGCTTATTGCAGCACTGTAGTGATGAGAAGCAGAGGGTCAGACCACTATACGCAGACTGTTGCACTAACATAGAGGACATTGGTCTTCTTGGACTTTTCTGAGAGGGCTGGGGAAGCTTTAAAGTGAAAAAAGCCTGACTTAACTGTTCTTAACCACCCCCCCCTTCTCCTATCTATTCTGCCTACCCTCTATAGGAAAACATTTGTGTACTTAGCTATTTTTAATCTGCTCACGCGATCACATAATTCTGCAGCCTGCATAAGGGAGCACTTGAAAAAGACTGTTATTTCTAAGAGCCATGACATCACCTATAGGCTCCCATGGCTGTGGTGCTCCCTCCTCTTCCTTGCAGCAGCTGTTCACTGACACAGAGAAGGTGGAACTGCAGGATCATATTATGTAACCGGACCTTATTGGATTAAAAATAGGTAATTAAAGAGATCTATATTACACAGGGTAGGCAGGATAGGTAGTAAGAGGAGGGGTGGCATTTTTAAGCTTCAATACAGCTATGCTCTTCTTACACTTTCAGAATAGAGAGCATAGTGAAACTAATAACTTTTATTAGTAGTTTTTTTTGCGCACTCTTGAATATAATTGTATCAATTCAAGGGAAGGTACAAGTTGGCTTAAGTTAAAGTCTTAAGTAAGAAAACTACAGAATAAATACTAGCATCAATGCAAACATTTGGTTTTATAAATTCTCTATATATAGCCCTTGACAGATGTGGTCACTACTTTCCCAAGAAAATAGGGCATTGCGGTAGAATTAATTTTAGAAATGGATTAAAGAGGTGTCTTACTATCTCATGTGTATGTAGAAAATACAGCATAAAAGACTGTGCTAACTGTATGTTTGCCACCAAGCTACATCTATGTGTGCATTAAAGATTTAAATTTAAAACAAAAATTATAGAACAAACTATTTCCCCTTGCAGGGATTTGAATAACAACATACATGATTGTAATAATTAAAAGGAATACAAGAATTATTTTAAGGAGTTTGTCAAAGTTGGAAGGCAAATGAGCACCTAAAGACTGGGGTATCATAATATGATATCCAAGGTTGCAAAATCAGTAATTTTAGTCATGCAAAAGTTCAATGTTTCAGTAGTATAGTAGTACAGTATGTAAAGCCACTTTTTGGCATTGGATAGAATGGGGGTGGGTTAGACCCTTTGTCAAATTGTATTGCTTTCTGTATCCCTATAAGGGAGTTTTTATCGCTCTATTTGTACTGGTGACCATTGTCACTGAAAAAAATATGATGGAAAACTCAAAATGTTAAGGGTATCCTCATAAGAAAAGGTTTTGTGAGAACTTCCACTAGGGACACTTGTTCTTGGGACAGCAATCTAAGGTAAGCCATAGATGATGCTACATTCTTTCCTGCAACCACGGGGTGCAGGAAATAAAATCACCCAATTCCCCCATCAACACAGTCAGAATCCCCCGCTATTGTGTTCTGCTAGCAGCTATAGTAAAAAATCAAACAGGCTGGTTGAACTGAAGTTGATTGATGGATTGACTTTAGTACAACCAGCCTGCCCATAGACAGATTGAATCTTGGCCAGTCCCTGCTGAACCGCCTGAGGTTTGATCCATCTATGGCCAGCTTAAGACGGGAATTCAGTTTCACTTTGGGAGATTTCCTTTAAGTTCATATTGTGTCTCTGGGACAGGAAGTGAAGGGAATGGTAAGCAAACAGAAAAAAATAATCAGAGAGGGTTTTTAACTATTCCCTTTTAAAACATTCTAAAAAAAATTTGACATACATACAATTTAATTAACAGAATAAAGTATCTTTATAGGGATGTCACATGAATTCCATATATATTTGTAACAAACTGAATCAATCGAGTAGTAGTACACAGGTTTTTATGAATAAGATTGGAAGTCTAAGGCCTCACTCACACAAGGCATACAATACCTCATGCTCATGCTGTTGTGTCCCAATATGACATGATGTCATATTGTGACACACAGCAGCATGAGTGTGCGATGTGGGTGCGGGTCCTCGAACACAGACAATATCAGTTTGGGGATCCACACCTGCACAGATGTCATACTAGGACAACAGTGGCCGTGTCCATGCATCCATGGTGTCTTGATAGACACTAATGGAACTGCTTGCATGGGGATGCATGGAACACCTGTGTATCCCCATGCAGACAAACACAATCCTGCACAGGCATACAGTGTGTGAACGAGGCCTTAGTATATTTTAAATGTACTAAGATTTGGAACCTGAATTGTGACACTATCAAACAAGTCTACATATTATATAATGTAATTACAATTTTATTACAGCCTTAAAGTGGTATTAAACTCAAAAACAAAAATGTATATTGATGCTTACCAATTCTTAGAAGTGGTGGTTGAATTAGTTTTATTTTTTTAGGGTTTTTTTCCCCCTTCATTATTACTTATTGATCATGCTAGTAAATCTGTTATTTTTTCAACTTCTTTAACAGCCTCCTGCCCGCCATATAGTACAATGACGGGCGCAAGGCGGTCCTCTCGTTCTGGGAGGACGTCATATGACATCCTCCCATTCGAACCGCGCAAGCACGGCTCCGGGGGCACGCAGCACGGTGATCGGCAGTGCGTTGTTTCCCTCGGACACAGCAGATCACCGATCAATGGAAAGAGCCGAAGAGCTCGGTCATGTGATCAGCTGTGTCCAATCACATGTAAACAGGGAAATGCTGTTTATCGGCATTTCTCTCCTCACGAGCTGTCACGCTGACAGCTCGAGAGGAGAGGAGAGCCGGTAATCAGCATTCCTCGGAGGGGACATGTACACTGATCATCAGAGCACTGATGATCAGTGTTCCCTGATGATCTGTGTAGCCCCAGCAGTGCCACCTGTCAGTGTCCATCAGTGCCAGCTGTCAGTGCTCATTCATGCCACCTGCCAGTGCCCTTCAGTGCCTACCAGTGCACATCAATGCCACATATCAGTGCCCATCTGAGCTGGCTTGCAGTGCCACCTATCAATGCCAGTCAGCCCCACCTATCAGTGCTGCCAATCAGTGCCGCCTATCAGTGCCAGTCAGTGCCGCCTATCAGTGTGCATCAGTGCCGCCTATCATTGCTGCCTATCAGTGCCACCTAACAGTGCCAGTCATTGCCGCCTATCAGTGTCAGTCAGTGCCGCCTATCAGTGCTGCCTATCAATGCCATATATGAGTGCTGCCTTTCAGTGTCCATCAGTGATGCATGTCATGTCAATGCCCATCAGTGCCACCTACCAGTGCCTCCTCATCAGTGCCCATCAGTGTCCATCAGTGCAGACTATCAGTGCCCATCACTACAGCCTCATTAGCACAACATCAGTGAAGGAGAAAAATCACTTATTCACAAAAACTAAGAAAAAAACTTTTTTTTCAAAATTTTTAGTGGTTTTTGGTTTGTTTAAGAAAAAATAAAAACCCAGAGGTGATTAAATACCACCAAAATAAAGCTCTGTCACAAAAAAATGATAAAAATTTCATATGGGCACAGTGTTGTATGACCGCGCAATTGTCATTCAAAATGTGACAGCGCTGAAAGCTGAAAATTGGCCTGGGCAGGAAAGGGGTATAAGTGCCCTGTAGGCTAGTGGTTAAAGCAAGACTTTACCCATAACAACATGATTAAAAAATAATGTTATTTAGCAAGGAATATACATTCCACATTAATAATTATGCTATCAAAGTTAGTGTGGTGTGTGCTTTAAATTGCTTGCAGCAGTGCTCCTGTTTCTTCTTGATAGAGGCTGCCATTTTGCTGAAGCCCAGAGCCTCTGAACAGCAGTAAATTTTTAGGCTGTCAGTAGATCGGCCTCTACATTTCCAGGATAGTGCCAAAAGTAGAAAGCAACTGAGCATGTGCAGAGCAGGGTGAGACAGTGTATTACTGGATTTTTAAAAGGGTACTGTATAGGCACTTATTTTTAATGTTTTACATAGCTATACCTGCAAAAGGGGCCAGCCTGAAGTGACCAGCTTTTATTCATGTATATAAAATCTATAACCCAAAATGATAGAAATTAAAACTGATGCTATAACTGCTTAAAGTGTTACCTGGTGTTTGGTTTTAATTTCTTAGTCAAATCCATTTAAATCTGCTACTGCATCCAAGGCCCCGTACACAGGATGAGAATATCGGACGAATGATCGTCTGTTTTTTTTTTTTTTTGTATGCTAGGCTTATATCAAAAGTGAAGAGGTTACTAAAGTTACAGAAATTCTTGTACAACAAAATAAAAATTCAAAAGTGATGTAATGTATTGTATTGTATTTGTATTGCATTTTCGTACGAAAACTGTACTGATTAAATGAAAATCAAACGCTCTGGTATAAAAATGTTTGTGCTTATCCCTTCTAATAATTTCGGACAAAAGCTGTGTACTAACGATCAGATTATCGTTCGATCGCTTCGAAAGCGGTATTATTTGTACAATTTTCTGATAGTGTGTACTAGGCTTAACACTACCCTCTCTCTAGATTAATAATGCTGCCGTTCAAGGGTGTCTCTGTTGCTCTTCCATCCCACAATTGAGACACCCTCAGTCAAGAAGTGTTACTGGTCAGATCACCAGGTGAAAAAAAGGAAAATAAACAAAAAAAAAGAAAATTAATGCAATTACCACATTTAAAGTGGAGTTCCACCCATTTTTTCAAGTTTAGTTCAAAATATTCCTAGTTAGGTATTTTTTTTTGTAAAGGTTTACATACCTTTTTTAGGCACACAGCAAGAACTTCTATTGTACCTCGCCGTGGCAAGGTACGTCATCTCTGGCCACCCGTTTTTACCTGGGATCGATGAGTCATCAATCCCAGGAATCAACGAGCATCTACCGCTTGTAGCATCTCATTATTCCCAAACCAGAAATGATGCAATGCCAGGCGGAGACAAGCTTTCTCCTTTTGAGGACCGCACTTGCCTTCCCAGGGTTGTATCTTGATTGACAGGTTTGCCATAACAACGGGGTGTGAACTTCCTTCTTCATGGCCATTGTTATGTCAACCTCTTCTAAACAGCTTGCGCTGTGCAGTGTCCTTACTGCACATTTGTAAGATCAAGAGGTGCATGCTAGGATAACCAGCAGCACCTAATCCAGGAAGTGTCCAGTAGCGGGCTTCAGATGCCCACATCCATCATGGAACCTGCCTGCTTCTGAGATCCATGTAAGAAAATTTAGATTATTTACATAACGAGCATGATTTAACCCATGACAGTAATCTCATATTTAACTGCAGGTTGTAATAATTACGGGGGAGCTGTTTTTTTAAAAAAAATTGTGGGGACTGTTAAGCTGAAATATATTTGATTTTTGGTTTTGCATTTACTACCACTTTAAAAACAAAACAAGAATTGGTTTAATTTATTAAAGTTGTGTGAATCCCTCTAAACCTCAGATACAAATGAAAAAACAACAATAAATTAACATTGCCTTAAACAACCATTTGCATTTACCAAATTGTTTGACTAAGATGCATTTGATTTGATTACAATAAGGGACTTGTGGGACTTGAACTTGATGGAAACTGTATTTACTATATCGTTTATAAAGTTAGTTTGTTAAGTTTGGGTTCATTTACAGCTGGCAAAACTACTGTGATTGCTAAACGAAGAAGGTCAAAGTCACATAAATTTTGTGTCCAGTCTTTTATCAATTTAGCCACGGTAAACATTTCCAGAAATTAAAGGGATGTCATATGAAGTCATTATTCAGCAAGTATGCCCTGAAATGCCTTTTTGTCTACTGAAATATAATGCAGTATAGACAGGGAGTTTAAACACCTGTAAATATTAACCAATTAATACATTTGGAAAGGTCAACCTGCAACAGAGTGGTACGTTTAGGAAAAGGAAAAGCAGTATATATGATTGCAAAACAGAAGGAATCTAAACTCAAATTATTAAAGTGAGTTAACTGAAAGATGCAATGGGCTTCTTTAACCCTGAAATGAGTAAATTTGTTAGAAGTTACAAGAAGGTAAAAGACATACATGCACAAAATGACATTTCAAATGTTTTACTTTCCAGTGCATTGGCTATACAGTAAGTGCTAGAAACCCAACAGTGATAATTCATATAATTAGATTTTTGGAATCCAAAAACAAGTTAAAATAAAAATGTGTCACTAAATTCTCAAATCTCTAACTTTTCCCTAATCGTAACTCTAATAATACTCTGTAATCCTACAATTAGCCCTAAAACTTACCATCAATTAACCTGCACACTAATACTCAATGGTACATTCCAGTCGGCTGAAAATTAAACCTTAAAGTGACCCTATCCCCACAGTGAGTAAAATAAAATAAAGGCACCCTGTAAATGGAGGAAAGTAATACCTTTCAAGTGTACAATTAGTACATTTTCTCTCTCTTGTAGTGTTGATAGCAACAGCCTTTGTAGCTTTTCAAGAGAGTGAATGTTGAAATTGTGTTACACATTCTTGAGTCCTCTATATGGGATGAAGGCTCTAGACTGATCTCTAACAATGTGCCAAGTCTGTATTTATGGATGGGTCAAATGAGTATACAAGAAGCAAAATACAATTTACCGAATGAAGGGATAGATGAGAAATCTGTCTATTTTTGATTTTCTGAGAACATACTGTAATGTTTTTCTCTTTGCTGTAACCTGGTACTAACAAGTCTGCTAGAACAGCAAATGGAACATCAAGTACTCTCACATATCCAAATTTGTTTTTCACCTACTGGGAAGAGGGAACAATGTTTGTTTGACAATCTCTTTTTGGAATAACTGGGTCCATTTTGTGCATTATGTGACTATGGATGGGACAAGTTAAAGTTTTCAAAATGTTATGACCTATTTTAATGTGGTACCAAAGGCAAAATCAAAAAATTATATTATGATGCATCCTGGCGCTAGCATTAACAAAGCAGATTTTGTTTTACAGAGTTCCCCCTATAATTTAGTTTTTTTTATTACTTGTTGAACCTGTTGTTATTTTTCAACTTCCTGTAACAGGCCAAGTTGTGTAGCAAAAGTGGAAGTTACAGGGTTGAGACAAACCATTTAACATTGAGAGGTGTGCTTACAATAGCCAGCTTTTATTTTATTTAGTTAAAACCTATATCCCAAAAGTAAAAAATAACTGCTTCTGTAACTGTTTAAAAAAGTGTTAGCTCAGAGTTCGACTTAGATTTTTTAGTCACTTATGTATAGTTCATTTAAGGGCTCATGCACACGGGGCTTAAAAAAGACCACTTTTACAAGAGTTTGGATTTTGTGCCCATAAGCACACCTCTATGTTAGACTATTGTATTATTGTATCCATGCACACATAGCCATTTACAGGCATATTAGATGAGAAACAAACAAGAAGAGCACACACTAAGTGCAGTAGAGCTAAACGCTTTAAAGTGGTTGTAAAGGTTAAAATTTAGTTTTTTTTAATAACACACACAGAGCGTGGCTCCGCCCCCATTCTTTCCTCACTGGCTTTGATTGACAGCAGTGGGAGCCAATGGCCAATGAGGAGGCAGAGACCTGGGAAAGCTGCTCTCGTCCATATCACTGGATCAGGATTGGGCTCACTTGAGTATAGGAGGGCTGAGAGGGGAGCTGCACACTAAAGGTTTTTTGCCTTCAGCCTTTAGAACCACTTTCATGTTAAAATCAATTGCAAATTGACCACTCGCAAAACTAAAATGGAAAAAACATGTACTCAACACTCCCATCATGCAGCATTAGCATTATCTCCAGACACTGTACTTTAAAACACAGTAAATCTACAGAGGGTCTCAAAGTCTTGGTGATCGAGATCATGCCAAGAGGAAAATCATTTGCAGATAGATTTGACAGATTATGTAACAGAAACATCAGATTTTTACCCTCAAACTCTAGCACGAAAGGGACTTAATGAGGAACTAGAGGTAAACATCATATTGTAATACTATGGGTTTAGAAACATTTATATTAATAAATAATCCCTCAGTATTTTTTTAGCAAAGTTTTATATTTGAAGTTTTGTGATGACACATACTAATGATATATCGCTGTGTTTTTTAGCTATTTAAAATCATAAATTGCAGTCTAAATATACAAGATGTAGACACTGTAAGCTCGAAAGAGCAGGGCCCTCGATCCCCTCATGTTTTGCATTGTATTGGTATTGTTCTGTCACATGTTCTGTTCCCCTTTGT